CCCCCTCCCCCCTTGTTTTTCTCCTTTTCTAATTTCTTTTAGATTTGAGTATGTCTTTTCATTCTGTCTTATTTGTTATTGTCATACACATGAACATATATGTGTACATTTATACATATATATTTGTTTACATATCTTTATACTGAAAATTAATTATAAAAAGAGTTTCATTATATTTATATAAATTCATATATACACCATTTTCTACTTGCATGTCAAACTTTTAATCACTCATTTGGAATTAGGCTTATAACCCTGATATAGAAATAGTTATTTCTTATTCTCCATTAGTTTTTCTACTTGGAGTATCAACTTTTTATTTAGGCATATTTATTATACATATTATATAATATTTTCTTCTGACTTTACTAATTCATTTTCTTCTCTTCCTATTCTTCATTTTTTTCCTGTTTAGAAAGCACTTTGCCACTTCTTAAACTTAGTGTCATGAGTTTGGTGCCATTTTGGTTTAGATCATCATTTTGGTAGACATCATCATACTTAGAAAGGTTTTGTTGACCTAAAACAATCTTTTAATCACTCTATTTAAGTAAAGCATCCATATCCTTATTTTAGTATCTCATAAATTGTCAATTTGATTATTTTTCTCCCCTTTCAGGTGGCCGAGGAAAGGACAATGCTTGGATCATTACTTTTCCAGAAAACTGTAATTTCAAATGTATACCAGAAGAAGTAATAGGAAAAGTGCTCAGTTATCTGACATCTATTGCAAGGTGCAACATTTAATTACATTTAAAATCTTTGTTTTATATCAAATGCCTATGTGAATGTCTTAACACAAAAATGACAATATAGCTATTATTGTTACTATTATGATGATAGATGATACTTCGATTTGACTATAACCCAAGGAAAAGCTGAACACTGTCTGGGTTGCTGTAAAAATTATCCAGGGGTTCTTTGGAAACAAAAGTAGAGATCTGGAAGTATTTGGTGTCATGAAAGAGAACGTAGGCTAATGAAGATCAGACGTAAAGACCTTAATTTGCTTAAAAGGAAATCTTACCAGCCAAGACTGAGGATAGCTATTCTTTATTTTGTCCAAGGATAAATTAGGACTAGATCTTACATGGTTCAATAACTATATTGGCAGACACTAGGAGAAATGCCTTAAGATTAATATAATTTGAAACTAGAGCACTTTATAATGGATAGCTAACTTGGGGTGACCTCTCCCAGATTTTAGTATTTCAAAGCTATTTTGTTAACCTTGTTATTACACTGTCACTTTTGTATTAAAAAAATTGACATTAGTATTCAGAAATGAATTTAACTAGTAAGAAGGAAGACACAGATTTTTCTAAGAAAGGACCTTTGAGAGCTGGGCACCATTAGCTCATTCTGTCATCCTAGCTACTCAAGAGGCTGAGATTTCAGGATCACAGTTTGAAGCCAGCCCACATAGGAAAGTCTGTGAGACTCATCTCCAATGAAGTGAAGCTGTGGTTCACGTGGTAGAGCGATAGCCTTGAGCAAAATTAGCTTCAGTGCTTAGGAATTCAAGCCCTAGGAATGGTATTGTTTGTAATAAATTTCTATATCTATAGAGGACTTTGTAATAGGTTTCTATATCCAAATCTGTTTTTAGTCAGGCATTAAATGTAAATAAAATGCGTACATATACATGTATAGAGGACTTGTACTATTAGTAAGGAAAATATTAATTTTGTTTATCTTGTAGGCAAAATGGGTCAGACTCACGATTTACCATTATTGTGGATAGAAGATTAGATACGTGGTCTTCTCTCAAAATCTCCCTTCAAAAAATCTCAGTAAGTTCCATGCACTGTACATTGACTTCTTGTTTTTGTTTTACATTCTACTTAGTGTTTTGATGGTACCTATTATTTTAATAATGAGAGATGCTATATAAATAAGTGAGATAATGAGGAAGGAAAGTAGGAAGATGACTTTGGAGAAGAGACCAAGGTAAAATCCCTTCCACTAAATTCTAGTGGGAAAGAACTTGTAATTAGTAGTAGTAGTTCTGTTGAGTGAGCAAAAGACTCATGGTTATACTCCTTTTTTTAAAAAAAAATTACATTCTTTTCTTTAAGTACCCATAGTGTGGCTTAAAGTTAGGGCCTTGTCTTCTCACTTGGCTTTTCCATCCAATGCTGGTTGGTGTTCTACTGCTTGAGCCACCCCTCCACTGTTTTTGGGTTAATTGGAGAGACTCTCATGGACTTTTTTTTTTCTCCAGCTGACTTTCAACCACAATCTGTCTCCACAGTAGCTAGGATTACAGATATGTGCAGCACCTGGCTCAGGGCATGATTTATGTTTTTTGTTTGTTTGTTTGGTAGGTTATGGGGCTTGAACTCAGGGCCAGAGCACTGTTCCTGAGCTCTTCTGCTCAAGGCTAGCGCTCTACCACTTGAGCCACAGCTCCACTTCTGGGTTTTTGGTGGTTAATTGGAGGTAGGAGTCTCATGGACTTTCCTGCCTGGGCTGGTTTTGAACTGTGATCCTCAGATCTCAGCATCCCGAGGATCTAGGATTATAGGTGTGAGCCAATTGGTGCCTGGTTGAAATAAGCATTCTCAAAAAAGTATTTTGTTGGGCATGTCTCTAGATTTGTTTTTCCATGGATAGAGTTGGAAGGTAAATCACCTGTGGTGGGACTTATCTGCTTTACTGGAATGTTCTCCTCAGTCTTCCAAAACCCTGAGAGAGAAAACTCTTGTCTAAAAAAACACATAAGAAATACATCATTCCCACATCCAAGATGTCTTTAACTTTATTAGACTTAGCAGGATGTAGTGCCGTTTTTTGATCTTTCCCTTTCGTAGAAGAGATGAGGAACTTACAGACGCCTGTGAGCTAACAAGATTACAGTTGTCTATGAAAGTTTCATGGGGACCATTTCCTCCATCAGACCCAAGACGATAGGAAGCTGTATGATTTTTTTTTAATGATTTCAACCTCATTAGCCATCAGAATTTCTTTTTTAATGTTTTGACTTTTTATCCATTTATTTTGCAAAAAATAAAACAAAACTCAGTAATATATGATATAGTAGGGAAGTAAATTTATATTCTTAATGGTTATGTAAAAACTATATGTTACTTATGGTACCAAGTGATTTTTTTTAATATATAGTCTGTACAGTATGTACACAAATGCTTTATTTGTAGTGCATAACATAAGGTAAAATTCTCTTTAAAGATTCAGTATTTTTTATGGTGAAAAACATTCAAAATACTGTATCTTATTATTATTTTTTTATAATTGTTTCCAGTCCTAGGGCTTGAACTCATGGCCCAGGCACTGTCCCTTAGTAGTTTTGTTCAAGGCTAGCAATCTACCGTTTGAGTCACATCTCTACTTCTGGCTCTTTGCTCATTAATTAGAGATAAAAGTCTCACAGTCTTTCCTGCCCAGGGTGGCTTTGAACAGTAATTGTCAGATCTCACCCTCCTGAGTAGTTAGGATTTCAGATGTGAGACACAGGTGCCCGGCTAAAATACGTTGTTTTAGATTTTTGGATTTTTCAATCCTATAATATATTCTCATTATATATACTCACCTTCCTGTACAGTAGCACACTCAACTTCTCTCATCTGAAATTCTTCCTTTGTTTCCTCATGGAGGAGGCTACTCCCACCAGAGAAAATGAAATTAGTTTCAAAGGCAAGAGAAAAATCTAAGTTGTTGGACTTCTCAGTTACTGTTCTTTTTTGGTTAATTTGTCATCAATGTGCATTAAAAAATATGCTTGTACACAAAGCTAGATTCATGGGGAAGTCCCTATGATGATTATGTAACCTTTTTCGGGTGGTGTCCTTTGCACCTGCTGCTTTCTAGCGTTTTTTTTTTTTTTCAAATGTCTTAGCTACACAACTACATTCAGTGATTTTAGAAAACTGCAAAATTCCCTTTGGAAAGGCCAAGTGTATCCCCCACCCCCGGCCATATACCATGGAACCCTGTCAGTGGCATAAAGAGTTAATTGTAAAGACCATTTTCCATGTTGTGACCTTTTTGGGTTGGTTCTTGGGTTTGTTGAATAAGTAGATTGTGTTTTATGCCAATAATCAATTCCTTTATGCAAACTGTAACACTAGATGCAATAAAACATCTCTTTTCCTGCCTACCTTTTTTTTGGGGGCCAATATTGTCCTTGCTTGATTAAATTAATTTTCATTGTCTCTCTGGCACAGGACCACTAGTATTTTGGTCAAGTTTGCATTTTCTCCATTAGGTAGGCTGCTTGAAATAGAATTCATACTTTTTCTAAAACAAAAGTACAAGATTTAGGTCTTGACCTCATTAAATTGAGATCAATAGAAGGGCAGTGACCTATTTTTTAGGGAGTAGTACTCCTTTTTGTTTTTCCCAGGACTGTTCATAATAAATTAACCCTAACCATGTTCAGTACGTGGCTCAGAGCTTGTGTTTTTATTCTCCTAAGTGTCAAACTGATGTGCTAGGCCACAGTTAAAGATCAGGTCTTTTCCCACACTGAAGAGCACATTCATTTCAACCATCAGTAACTGTCTGGCACTGTTTGAAATAAAGGCATTAATAACAGCTAATTTCAAGAACAAAAATGAGCACTGAGCAAGGATTTCTGGTGAAAGTAGCCATTGTGTAGAAATGTAATTAATTGTCTGTCCTTTGCTTTCTTTCCTTCTTCTCCCTCCGTCCTCTCCCTTCTTCCGTCCATCCATCTATTCACCCTTTGCGCTCCCTCTCCCTTCTTCTTTCCCTTCCTTTTTGTGTTCCTAGGGAATTGAACCCAGAACCTTGTTCTTTACAACTGAACTCTCTTGGCCATAGTGGTCAGTACAAGAATTTGAACTTAGGACCTCTGACTTCCTAGGTGGAAACTTTACCACTTAGCTTTGCTTTTGTATCTTTGCACAGGGCTGGTCTTAAAACATGGTTCTTCCTGTGCCACCCACGTATCTGGGATTATCATGCTCAGAGTGTTGGCTAAGTTGGGATGTTAACTTTTTGTCTATGCTTGAACTGCAATCATTCTGATCTTTACATACCCAATAGCTGGGTTTACAGGTGTCAGCTACCATGCCTGGCCAGCCTCTGTTTTTTTGAGCCAATCTCTTACTACATAGTTCAGGCTGGCTTTGAATGTGTTATTGTTTTGCTTCTGCTTCCTAAGTGCTGAGATTACAAGCATATACCATCATGTCCAGTATATTATTTTAAATAAGTATATGTTAGATTATCACACAATTCACTTCAATTGTAATTTCCAAATTCCCAAATAAATAGCAGCAGTTAGGTCACACTTCGTAATTAATAAGATAGTTGAGAAAATATTGCTTGGCATAATGTTATACATATTAATGAGGCCATATATGGTCAAAGCAAGGCTACCAAATGTATCATCTTAAACTTTTATCATGTCTTTGAGGTGAAGCGATTCAAAATGATCTCTTGGAGCTATTTGGGACAGGCCGGGTGGGGGGGGGGTGGTTAGTTTCAGAGAAACTCATGGCCATTAGAAAGTTTGAATATTCTGTTCTGTTTTAGATGATTATCAGGACAAAATTTTACCAGCAAGCCTTTCCGCAGGCTTAGATCCAGCATGAAGTGTGAAAAAAAATACAGAATTTAAAATTATAAGTCACAGACCTGGGGAAGATCAAAGGAAAAGATCTCAGTTAATACTACCTTCACAAAGATTCTTAGCATTCCACCTTAAAAATCCAACTGCGCAGTAGAGAAAAACCAGTCCCATCCAGATTGTTCTTTGGAGGGGAGTGGATTTTATTTTTTTTTCCTCCACACTTAGTGGAAATGCCTGATCTTCGGGAGCCATCCAGCCTCAGCTAATCCACCAGGTTCAATCAGGCTAAGTAGTTGAGGAATGTGTCAACTCTGAATTACAATGAGCAGCAGGGAAGGAGCTGTCAGCTGACTAATCAGGGATAGTGGATTTTTGTGCGGCGGCGCCGCTGCAGCAGTGGTAATGGAAGCAGCTACGCTAGCTTTGTTTGGTGGAGATTTTTGGCTGCCGTTTTTAAATACCACCCAAGAAGCAGCTCATATTTCATCAGTGAGCCATTGACAATTGGAAAAGAAGAGTGTAAAAGATGGCAGAAGCGAATCCCCCGAGAGGCAAGATGAGGTTCAGAAGGAATGCGGTAAGGGCTCTGCCTGCAGTTCTGGAAAGCCTATTCCCAAGTTCAACTGCAGAGATGCTGAAGCATGGTGCACATTCCTGCCTGAGTGGGGCTTTTAAGGACAGAATGGAGTCTTAGGTTTGCATGGATCGCTTTGATGAGCTTTACTGAGACTGGCCAAGGGTAATTGAAGGAAGTGGAAGAGGTCGAATTTCATTTCACAATCTAAATGCCATCAAGTTTAGGAGAGAGCGTAGCTAGGCATGTTATTCACTGAAGAGTGTATTAATTTTTGAGTCATTTGGCTTTGTAGTTTTAAATCAGGAGTTAAAATAATACCTACTAAAAGGATTCATGCTTTCTTTGCCCATGGTCAAGTAGAGTGTAGTTAGAAGCACGGGGGATCTGGACATGATTTCATCAGCACTTAGAAAAACATTCGTGGATATCACTGTAGAAGTAAAAAAAACACTTAAGCATCAGTAATGCTGTATAATCTTTACGGTTGCAATTTGTCTCTTAACTTATACTTTAAAGACATGAAATATTATTAGCTTGTTGACAACATTTTTCTTTTTCTTTTCTTTTCTTTTTTTCTTTTTTGTCAGTCCTGGTTGCTGTCCCTGAGTTTTCTCGCTCAAGGCCAGCGCTCTACCACTTTGAGCCACTGCACCACTTCT